CACTTATTTTTATTGAACTTCATATTGAAATATCTGTACTTATCAATATGATAGAGTTTAACATTAAGAACAAGACTATGCCATGAATGTCACCAATAATGACCAGGGGGGCTGCACTCAATTTCAAATGAACACTGCGTGCTTAGCTGAAGCAGGACCAGCAAATCGAGAATCATGAAACTGTAAAAAAACTAATCTTTAGGCACTTACAGTGTGCAAGACTTGACAAAGACCTAGGATTAGGTCGAAACGTTGCTCTGTTACTGTTTGATCCAATGAAGCTGCTTGCTGTTTGCACACTGTGAGTATCTGAAGATTTACCTTTTACACTAATAAATATCACCAGTGGCATTCTTCATCCATCTGCATACAGAATACATACAGACAGGCACAGCTTCCTCTATAATTCTAGCTTCCAAAACAAGGTATCATTTATCATTTAGGCTGTTAGATGCCACCACATTTGCTCTGATACTAGGGGTCAAGCTTCACTGGGGGTCAAGCACACTGCCAGAATCACTTTGGCAAAAAGGCTATAAGGGTAGCCCAATATATAAAAAATCCTACCCAGAAAATAACAAAGGAAAGGCTTCTTCAATAAAAATAAAAGTAGAACATGACAAGGATCCCACTGGTTATTACCTATAACCCAACTCTAGAGGAAATATGTAAAATTGTTAAATACAGTTATAATCAAAATTATTCAACCCCCCCATTGAAATTCAGGTTTATGGTCAACATTTACAGACTTTCAGCTGTTTGCAATGAATAAATCAAACCAAAGCAATTGAAATAGCTCAACACAATGAATGCTTTAAATTGTTTCCCCAAATTCAACTGAAAATGCAACTTATAATGACTTCTTCTCTATCAAAATTGTATTTTATGTGGTGGAGGTGTCGTTTCATTCTTCATTGTACCAAAGCCTTTGAAGGTCAAACTGCATGGCCACAACTTTCAGCCCAGGGACGGCAATTTTACCTTCCATGCAAACTCATAATAATTTCTCCTAGTTTATAGAGAAAGTGCAAATATGACATATAAACAAGAATTCAAATACGATGAATAGAAAGATACTGATAATCAAACAAAAGCAAATGACAAACCAAAGAAAAATTTAGATCTACATGAATTGGGGAGGAATGGCAATGACAACAGTAAAAAATTGTAACAAATGACATTGACAGTGAAGATTATTAAAAAAAATATATTAATGGTCTATTAGTTTTTCTTATATTAACCCTCATGGGCTCTAACAATTCAAATATTATGGCTGTGTGGCTGTATAATGCACAATATTCTTTCTAATCAGGTGTTACATTATGACAATAGAAATCCCTTTTAGTATCATGTTTCTAGCTCACAATTACTGTTTACTTGGCCAGCATGAGCTGAATTTCTATTTATATACCTAATGTACTACAAGATTTAATTACGGGAATCCCTAGAAACACAAAACAGCCATTAAAGATACATTTTTTAAAACATATGAATCTTGCAGGCTCCGAACATTCCTAGTTATGTGACCCAAATGACCTCTGGGTTTACAGTAAAGACAAACACAGATCCTTAATTTGCAATAAACATTAGACAAATAAATCAATGGCTCTATCCAGTGGTAAGTGTAAGGCACTTAATAGTTCATTAAAAAAAAAAGATACGTTATAAAATATTTTGCTGTTTTAAGTAGTATATAAATAATAGATAAGGGAAAAGTTCCCACCAAAATGAACATATTGTCACACTTTGAAAGAAAGCTCAAATTTGATCCTAAAGAACTGTGAAGAAAAGATTTATCTTCTAATTTTTATAACATTATTCTTGCAGAAGGGGTGTATAATGCATTGTCATATGGAAAAAAATGCAGAAAAAAAAATATTTTTAGAATCAGAGAGTAGGGTAAAAAAATTAATAAGTGGTCATTTCCTAGAACCTTCCTGAACTCTACCATTCTCCTTCATAGACAGTGAAATAATGATTAAAACTGATGATTGACCTTATCATGCCTTCAATGAGTAGACTAGGTAAGGGAGTTTTAAAAGTGTTTCCCGTTTTCCACTTCCATGTGAATTGTATGAGGAGCAATTAATGTGAACTCAATACAAATGTGTGGCCTAGCATTGACTGTGAGTATTCCCAGGAGCCTACATAAACCAAGAGGGATGTTTTTGACAAACCTACCTAAGTTACATTACTAGCTAAGTTACATTCTGTAGCATCGTTATGATATTTAGAAAGTAACAAGACTTAGTTAGTGCTAGTGCATTCGTTTTTGGCTATTGCAATTCATCTATAACCTCCGATCCAGTACCAGCACAATATTTAGCATACCGCAATACAAAAATATAGCGTCTCGATCCTCTTTTTCCTACAGAGCACCGCAATTATGGAATAACCTCAGGGACACAGTCAAACCTTCATTCAATCTAAAATATTTTAAGACATCTATGGCAATATATCTCAATACAGAATGCACCTGTCATGGGTGACTGTATTTATTACCTATTATGTGTTAAATTTATATATGTGTGTATATACATACATTGTATTTTTTGTGTATTAACTTGCAAGGTAGCCATAATTATGACCATAGTGATGTGCTTATTCCTGTAAGGTTTAAATGCCTTTTACTAGTCCATTTCCTAGATTAATTCCTTTTTTCGACTGTTCTCTCTTTTCAGATTAAAGTTCCTTACAGATGCCGAGCTTGAAGCGGATTATCCGTCTGGTTGTGGTTTCTTCCTTTCACCATATCGTCATCGCCTGTTCCGTTCTAGTCTCTTTGTTTGCCTATCTCTACTCCCTCTACTACTTCCTTTTTTGGATTATTTCACAGCTTGAAGCACCAATAGAGGAAGGAAGTTTTGTTTTCTCTGTTGTTTTTTTCTGATTGGTTAATCTGTTGCTAAGCAAACTTGTGCTGCTGTGGAGTTTAGTAAAGAGAGTTAAGCAAAATATTCACCTCTTGTCATTAATAAAATTAAGATTATATGTACACTAAAGCTAGCATAATCTACAATTATTATTCATATGTATAAACCTTGCTATTAAATTGCCTGCCCTACAATGATTAATTCTTTATCATTGATAGATCTTTCCTGCCCACCCTGAATTAATTTTGGAACATTCAGATCCCTAAAGAGTGCTTCGGAATATGCAATATCTGTATGAGGACATAAAGCTGACATAGAGTAGCCCAGTTACTTTGATTAAAACAAGCATTGGGACTATGCAGTGCATTGTAGTCTGCTTTTGCAGTCTGCAAAGAAGCAGTTGCTAGAAAGCAACACTGTAATTCGATAAACAAAATCTCCAGTACTGCTTGGGATCATGTGCAATTACAGTCCATTAGCTAGATTTTATTATGCAAAGTTAAATTGCAGCCATATTTAAGCTATGAAGGGTGGAAAGTAATTGACATAGTATTGCGAAAATAGGGAAAGAGCATAGAATTGCCAAAGTAATAAAGTAACCTGTGTAACACTTTTCATGCCTCACAGGACACTTACTCATGAACCTACATAATAAAGGACCAACTCACTTAATTTTTTATGGGGATAGTGCAAATTTTACAGAAAAATATAGTTTTCTTTAGACTGATTGTAATGATAGGTCTACAAATAATACAATTCAGAGTCACTGGAATATTTAAATTCTATTATAGGGAAAACACACTCTAGTTATTATAGAAATGCCATGATCATATTTATACTTAGCTGAAATCTCTAAATATAAAATGTAATAAAGATAAATATATATATATATATATACATTGCTCTAAAAAATAAAGGGAACACAAAAATAACACATCCTAGATCTGAATTAATTAAATATTCTTCTGAAATACTTTGTTCTTTACATAGTTGAATGTGCTGACAACAAAATCACACAAAAATAAAAAAATGGAAATCAAATTTTTCAACCCATGAAGGTATGGATTTGGAGTCACACTCAAAATTAAAGTGGAAAAACACACTATAGGCTGATCCGACTTTGATGTAATGTCCTTAAAACAAGTCAAAATGAGGCTCAGAAATGTGTGTGGCCTTCACGTGCCTGTATGACCTCCCTACAATGCCTGTGCATGCTCCTGATGAGGTGGCAGATGGTCTCCTGAGGGATCTCCTCGCAGACCTGGACTAAAGCATCTGCCAACTCCTGGACAGTCTGTGGTGCAACGTGACGTTGGCGGATGGAGCAAGACATGATGTCCCAGATGTGCTCAATTGGATTCAGGTCTGGGGAACGGGCGGTCCAGTCCATAGCATCAATGCATTCATCTTGCTTGAACTTCTGACACACTCCAGCCACATGAGGTCTAGCATTGTCTTGCATTAGGAGGAACCCAGGGTCAACTGCACCAGCATATGGTCTCACAAGGGGTCTGAGGATCTCATCTTGGTACCTAATGGCAGTCAGGCTACCTCTGGCAAGCACATGGAAGGCTGTGCGCCCCCCCTCAAAGAGATGCCACCCCACACCATTACTGACCCACTGCCAAACCGGTCCTACTGGAGGATGTTGCAGGCAGCAGAACGTTCTCCACGGCGTCTCCAGACTCTGTCACATCTGTCACATGTGTTTAGTGTGAACCTGCTTTTATCTGTGAAGACCACAGGGTGCCAGTGGCAAATTTTCCAATCTTGGTGTTCTCTGGCAAATGCCAAACGTCCTGCACGGTGTTGGGCTGTAAGCACAACCCCCACCTGTGGATGTCGGTCCCTCATACCACCCTCATGGAGTCTGTTTCTGACAGAGCAGACATATACATTTGAGCAGACATATGCACATTTGTGGCCTGCTGAAGGTAATTTTGCATGGCTCGGGCAGTGCTCCTCCTGTTCCTCCTTGCTCAATCGCAGAGGTAGCGGTCCTGCTGCTGGGTTGTTGCCCTCCTATGGCCTCCTCCACATCTCCTGACATACTAACCTGTCTCCTGGTAGCGCCTCCATGCTCTGGACACTACGCTGCCAGACACAGCAAACCTTCTTGCCACAGCTCGCATTGATGTGCCATCCTGGATGAGCTGCACTACCTGAGCCACTTGTGTGGGTTGTAGACTCCATCTCATGCTACCACTAGAGTGAAAGCACCGCCAGCATTCAAAAGTGACCAAAACATCAGCCAGGAAGCATAGGAACTGAGAAGTGGTCTGTGGTCACCACCTGCAGAACCACTCCTTTACTGGGGGTGTCTTGCTAATTGCCTATAATTTCCACCTGTTGTCTATCCCATTTGCACAACAGCATGTGAAATTGATTGTCACTCAGTGTTGCTTCCTAAGTGGACAGTTTGATTTCACAGAAGTGTGATTGACTTGGAGTTACATTGTGTTGTTTAAGTGTTTTGAGCAGTGTAAATATGTAAATATATATATATATATATATATATATATATATAAAAATAAATAATTATTCATTCTTGAAATCTTTTTTACTATAAATAGATGGGGCTGTCTTTTCCAATTGAATAATTATGGAAGTTGGCATATTTTTTTTAAAGATATGTACCTAGAGGCAATAATTCCAATTTCTCCTTTTATTCATAGCAAAAATGTACAGTTTTATTACAAAATATGTTAATTAAATATGGCATTTTAAGAAACATTACAGGAAATATTCTTTGACATTGAAGGTTTGGCTATTTGGGGCATAATTAAATGCATAGTATATATGCAAACAGCACTGGTCATTTCTTTTCTAAAAGCCCTTGGCTACTACAAGGAAATAACAAATATGACAATGGAGTCTAATATTAATATGCCCGCTGTTTACACTTTGACTTTCATTGCATTGGCCATAACATAGACTGGCTATATCTGTTGAAGTGAGCATTTCTAGGAGTTCTAGAAGTCTTACTCAAAGGATTATTACAAAGTTACGCTAATTTGTTCAAGCAAATTTCCTTTAAATTATATAATTAAAATTAATGTACCAATGCCCTTAAAAAGTAATTCAAGTTTTTTTTCTCATTTTTAGACATTTAAACACAGCCTAAGTGCATTAGTTGCTTTGCAATGAAAAATAAATCCTCCACCTGTGATTCAGTGTTCTTCACCTGATGTCCTACAGCTTCACACAGAATGTGAATCATGCAATGCATATGTTAAACATTATAGTTTTTAGCAGCTGTTACATTATCACATGCTCACAAAGACATGCAAAAAACGGATCGACCACAACATTAAAACCACTTACAAATGAAGTGAATAAATAACATTGATTTTATTGTTACAATGACACCTGTCGAGGGGTGGGAAATATTAGGTAGAAAGTGAACAGAAAGTTCAGTGTTGGCAGCAGGAAAAATTTCCAAGTTAAAAGATATGAGTGGCTTTGGCTTTGACAAAGAGCGAAATAGTAATGGCTTAACGACATGGTAAGAGCATCTCCAAAATGACAAGTCTTGTGGAGTGTTCCTGGTATGCAGTGGTTAGTACCTACCAAAGGTGGTGCAACTGGTTAACTGGTGTCGGGGCCATGGGTTCCCAAGACTCATTGATGCACATAGGGGACATAGCTAGCCCGTCTGGTCCACCCACACAGAAGAGCCACTTTAGTTCATATTGCTGAAAAACTTAATGCTATCCATGATAGAAAGGTGTCAGAACACACAGTACATCACAGCTTGCTGTATGTAGGGCTGCATAGTGGCAGAGAGGTCAGAGCATCAATGCATTCATCTTGCTTGAACTTCTGACACACTCCAGCCACATGAGGTCTAGCATTGTCTTGCATTAGGAGGAATACTGCCAAAATTGCCTTGGAAGAAGCAATGGAAGAAGGTTGATTTGTTTGATAAATGTTTTTTTGTTAGATAGGGTGAATGGGCATGTGTGTTGTTTAAGGACATAGCTTCAGAAATAAAAGACAATCATGATGGAAAATTTCCATAATAATTTTGTTCTTAATGGGTTGCTTGGGGAAGAGATGGAAGCAGGATGCACTCTGGAAAGAAGGCAGGCCCACAGAGGAAGTGTTATGTTCTGACCAAGGTTATTCTGAGGTCCTGATATTTCGTATGAATGTTGCTTTGAAATTTACCAGCTACCTAGAGATTGTGGTAGGCTACATACACCCTTTTATGACAATGGTGTTTCCTAATGTCAGTGGCCTCTTTCAGGAGGAAAATGTACCCTTCCACACTGCAAAATTGTTCAGGAATGGTTTGAGAAACATGACAAAGAGCTTAAGGTGTTGCATTGGCTTCCACATTTTCTCAATCCATGCTCACTGTACCTATAGGGGTATCAGCTATATCTCACTGACGAGGCCCAAAGTAGGCCTAAATAATTGTCTTGCTGTATCTCTCGTTCAGAGGAAACTTGCTGACATTTTGGTTCTGGACTGCCTGGACGGGTGGGACCAGCCTGATATGCTTCAGATATGTTCTCTCTGTAATGGCACAAGTGAGTACATATTATTTTGAGACCTAAGTGGGGATTTATATTCTGAATATTATATACTGAAGTGCAAGCTACTGAGTTTCTCTAAGCTTTTGCCCATTTTCAGAGTTCAATGCTTTAATGCACTCCAAATAAAGACTGTTGTGAAGACCAGGTGTGCCCAGACCACTTTTATATTACTGGCTTCTTTTATAATGTCACACTGCCCCTTATATTGTTAAAATCCCAGTCACATGGCTTCCATTATATGATCATATCATGGTTCATATGCTTCCATCATATAGTGATATCATGTTAAGCCCACCAATGTATCACAGTATCCTTATATCGGTATCCCTATTATACACTAATTTTAACAGTCCACTGTAAGTGCATGTAAAAGGGTGAGGAGGATTGAGCTTTTGAACATTTTTTAAATATTGGCACCACATCTGCTTTTCTCCAATCCACTGGTATTATTCTTAAAAGAGAAGAATCCTGACAAATTAAAACCAGTGATAAAGATATTTCTATAAGCTTCCTAAGCACGTGTGAGTGATTACCATCTGGTCCTGTGGATTTGTTTTCATTAACTTTTTATAATTTCTAAAGCATTTATCCTGTGTTAATCAATTGCCTCTTTGCTGTAAGGGTTTTGTAACAGGGATGTGCAAATCTATAGCCATAGATTCATTACCGAAGAAAAATAATTATGTAGAATGTCTGCCTTGTCCAGCTTCTCCTTGATTAACTCACCCATCTCACTTTCCAATGGACCAAAACTTTCACTTTTTACTTTTTTGGCATTAACCTTTTTTTTGGCTGTGAGCATTTCAATCCTGTTTAACCTATCTAATGGCCATTTTGCAGGTCCTATTGGCATGCTTATGTTTGCTATAGGATGCCATCGACTCCTCTGATTTAAATGTTTTGAATGCCATTTTCTTATATTTTATTATTTAACTGACATTTTAAATAAGACATTGTTTTTCATTTGCTTCTATTATATTTTGTTTACCAATGGTAAGTATTGAGATATGTACTTATGTCGAATTTGTTTAAATACCTTCCATTTATTCTCTGTATTTTTGCCAGTGAATAATTCCTGAAAGTCAATTTGTTGTAAATAAGCCCTTATCCTACAGAATTTAGCCTTTTCTTTTAAATTAAGCATTCTTGTAAAGTCCATATAATTTTTTTTAGTCAATCTCAAATGATACCATCATGGTCTCTATTTCCCATGTGCCCCCTAACTTGAATGTTTGAGAATAAGTCATTATTAGTTATGATAAGATCCAGACGAGCATCTTTACTAGTTAGTGAATGTACTAATTGAGACATGAAAGTATAATTTGTCAGTTTCAGAAACCTGTTTCCCTTAACTATACTACTAGTCCCTCTGGCCCAATCAATATCTGGATAATGAAAATCTCCAATGATTAACAAATTACTCAGTTGTGCGACCTTATTAATTTGAGATAGCAGTTGCTCTTCCCTATCAGTATCAATATTTGGGGGCTTGTAACATATTCCTACCATAACACTTGTGTTAACATGTTATTGGTAATAAAAAGGTTAATGAATAATGTACAATAGCACAGACATGGGTACTAATTAGAAGTTTATGAATTGTTAGAATATTTTAAATTCCAACATGAATTGTTAATTTAACCTAAACAACATTCAGCAGTATGTGGTTGGAAATGTAATTGTTTGGTGAAGGAAATTATACTTATTTTTATATTTAATTGCTTATTTATCATGATTTTAGAGCTGTAGATTTCATTAGACTTCATGGATTATGCATGCAAAGAAAGAACATTTAATTTAAATAAAATAATAAATGCAAAGATTTTTGGCTACACAGGCAAAGATGCATTTTGCCCCCCCCGTCCCATAAATAAAAAATGAGTCTTCACCTGTGTCTTGTAACAGGTGCTGGGGAAGAGGGACAGTGACTGAGTAAGGGAACAGGGCTGGGGAAGAGGGACAGTGGCTGAGGAAGAGGGGCAGGTGCTGAGTAAGGGGACAGGGGCTGAGTAAGGGGACAGGGACTAAGGAAGAGGACAGGGACTGTGGAGGGGGACAGGGGCTGAGTAAGGTAACAGGGGCTGAGGAGGGAGCAGGGCCTTGGGAAAAGGGACAGTGGCTGAGTAGGGAAACAGGGCTGAGGAAAGGGACAGGGACTGAGGAGGGGGCAGGGGCTGAGGAGGTGGACAGGGGGTGAGGAGGGGGACAAGGTTGAGGAGGGGGACAGGGGCTGAGGAGGGGGACAGGGGCTGAGGAGGGGGAAATAAAAAAACTAAAGTGCATTCCCGCCCACCCTAAGGCTTACCTTGGGCCAGGGAGGGTTGGGGCAGGATCTGGAGCCTGCAGCCTGCAGTCAGTGAAGTCGGCCTCTCCTGATGAGGTCAGGAGGAGGAAGCGTAACTTCCTCTGCTCTTCTCCCAGACTCCCCAGCGGTCCTGGGAGAAGAGCAGTGGAAGTCACACCCCCTCCTCCTGACATCAGAAGGGCTGGTCGACTCCACTGGCTGCAGGCTGCAGGAAGAGTAAGGTGAGTTGAAAAATCTGAGTCCCCAGCCAAAGGCAGGGGATTCAGATTTTTGCGCCCTCCCCCTGTTCAGGCGCTCTAAGGCTGCCGCTTGTGCTGCCTTATGGACTCAACTGCCCTGGTCATATGTAGTAAATTGGATGTATTGATTGTCCAGGTTGTATGTGCTTTTCCCCCTCCCTCCTTTTCCTGTCTTATTGTTCTACCAGCAGGGCATTATCCCATTGTTCCAGGGACACTTCCAGACCAGTTCAAACTGACTGCCCCGCCACTCATTTCAATCTATTATTTGATCCTCAGCCCTTGTTATTGTCTGTCCCCTCCCTTCCTGGTAATTACAGGGCTCCTTTCACAATGGTTGTAAGTGTTGTAGTGTGGTTGGTTGCTATTCCAAGATC